ATAGACACTATCAGGAATAGATAAGTCAACAAGATTGGAAGCTTGTGAAAAGTTCTCTTGTATTTATGTTTCTTAATTCTCGTCCCCTCATTCATCCTAGGTCCATAGCATCTGGATCGTCGTCCAGAGGTCCTTGGGCCATGGGTACAGTAGGCTCACCGTCCATAGGTTCTGGTCCCGGGAGTACAAAATTTGGTCCTTGAGAAGCAGTTCCACTTTCCTCCATATGTCGATACCAGTCCCGGGCATCGGGTGTCTTCTTCAACTCAATCTTCCGGGCCTCTTCGTTCCGTCTCTGCTCTTGCGCCGCCCGAGCCCTGGCTCTCGTTTCAATAATAGCCTTTCGAACACTGTCCTGCTCCTCGGGTACCGTCAATGAAGTTGGAATATTGTAAAGCACTAGTTGGTTATTGCCTGCCAGTTCACCTTCGTTGTTTGCCAGTATCATGGGAGGAATGCGCGTTTCTAGAAGGTGCTTCTGGATGTCTGGTAGGAAGATGAGCTTGCCATCGTCGGAGGACTCGCTGTCTGATAATTCGGCGTCTAGGTCATAAATGTAGACTTTATGCTTTGTATCGTCCAATTGCATCGTATCATCGTCTGGTGGCGGTCGTTGCACTGGAGATTTGGATTTCTTAGTGTTGGGCGTGGGATGTTCCACTGGCACATAGAGCTTCTCGCCATTGCGCTCTGCCAAAAAAGTAAACATAAGTCAGAAGTTCCTGAAAGGGATTGGAAGTAGAAAATACCAACCTAAATTCAGCAAGCTCAGGCGTTTGTTCAATCGCTCGTTGTCTTGACTCTCGGCTTTTCTCTTCCTGATCTTGCTGTTCGCTACGCGGTCCATCCTCTCATCTCTCCTCCCAAACCAAACCACTTTAACACCGTGCAACCCAACACTCCCTCCAATCACAAATAAAACAAAGTCGCAGACCGTCGCAGCAAGGAGCCAAAGTCCTGTTCTTCGCCTGGGCCACCTATCGGGATTCGCAATACCAGAAATCCAGTGCACAGAGGAGAGGGCGCGGATGAATGGTTTGCGAGGAGTCAGTCTGAGAATCCGCCTGAGTCACCTCCGACTTCGACGATATTCTACTACTACTACCGAGCAACGCCTGCACCCGCAGCAACAGCGGACGACGACGCGATTTATTACGATTTTTGGCTGCACGCGCGCAACAAACACTATTCCAACTCTCCGCACATCTAGAAGTTTCTCGACGACAGTCGCAAGGATGGCACAGGAGAAATGGACTGCCCCACAGGTCAGAAAGACCTTCTTGGAGTTCTTTGAGGGCAAGGGACACACGATTGGTATGTGGCGGGGTAGTTTTTCTAAGGAGGGGGAGATTTTTTGGCCGGACTCGCGACGCAGATGATGCCTCAATTGGGGCTGGGAGATGTTATTCAATCTCTCTATACTTCCATTGAGGCTGTTGAATATGTATATAGCTAATGTGTGGTGTCTGTAGTGCCCTCGTCCTCGGTCGTACCCCACAACGACCCTACCCTCCTCTTCACCAATGCTGGTATGAATCAGTTCAAGCCTATCTTCCTGGGAACAATAGGCCAGACCGATGATATGGCGCAGCTGAAGAGAGCCGTAGACACGCAGAAGGTGACACACAATGGCTGTCGAACAAATGGAGGGGAACGCTGACCGTTTTACAGTGTATTCGTGCGGGAGGAAAGCATAATGTGAGGATATACTCGAACAGCAGAAGAGCACAACTGATATAGGAACTATTTAGGACTTGGATGATGTTGGAAAAGACAGCTACCATCATGTAAGTGACCTTGCCACGGTTCCCATGAATTTGGCTGATGTGACTCAGACTTTCTTCGAAATGCTGGGCAACTGGTCGTTTGGCGATTACTTCAAGCAAGGTGCTATTGAGATGTCGTGGGAGCTTCTTACAAAAGTATACGGCCTAGATCCAGATCGCCTTTATGTTACATACTTCGAGGGCGACGCTTCTGCTGGATTGGAGCCAGATTTGGAGGCTAAGGAGCTATGGAAGAAGGTTGGAGTTGCAGAAGATCATATCTTGCCCGGTAACATGAAGGACAACTTCTGGGAGATGGGTGACCAAGGACCTTGCGGGCCCTGCAGCGAAGTTCACTACGATAGGATAGGTGGTGGTCGGAATGCTGCCAGTCTTGTCAATATGGACGACCCAAATGTTCTCGAGATCTGGAATAATGTCTTCATTCAATATGACAGACAAAAGGATAAGTCTCTTAAGGCTCTGCCAGCAAAGCATGTCGACACTGGTATGGGTTACGAGAGATTGGTGTCGGTGTTGCAGGACAAGTCTTCAAACTACGACACCGATGTATTCCACCCATTGTTCGTCAAGATCCAGGAAGTCACAGGAGCTAGGAAATACACCGACAAGTACGGTAAGGATGACGTTGATGGCATTGACACTGCATACCGTGTCATTGCTGATCACATCCGTTTACTAACCTTCGCCATATCCGACGGAGGCGTTCCAAACAACATCGGCAGAGGTTATGTGGTCCGGAGAGTATTACGTCGTGGTTCTCGGTATGCACGAAAGTATTTCAATGCTGAGATCGGCAGTTTTTTCTCCAAGATCCTGCCTGCTCTTGTTGAACAGATGGGCGAGCAATTCCCCGAGATTGTTGAGAAGCAAGTCGATGTCAAGGAGATTCTGGACGAGGAAGAAGAGGCATTCGCTAGGACACTCGACCGTGGTGAGAAGCAGTTCGAGAAGTACGCTGCTCTTGCTGTCAAGAACGGGGAAAAGAAGCTCTCTGGTGCAGATGTTTGGCGATTATACGACACCTTCGGGTTTCCCGAGGATTTGACCAAGATTATGGCAGAGGAGAGAGGGCTGGAGACTGATGATGCGGAGATTGAGGTCGCAAAGGAGACTGCTCGCTTGGCCAGTATGTCTGTCAAGGAGGCATCTCACACATTTGCCAAGTTCGACGTACATCAGATCGCAGAATTGGACAAGATGGGTGTACCAAGGCCGAATGACGACGCCAAATTCTCGAAGGGAGACACGACTGCCAAAGTCTCGCTCGTCTATGATGGAAAGAGCTTCTTGAAGTCAACGGAGGGCCTTCCGTCAGACAAGCCATTCGGTATCTTACTGGATAAGACCAATTTCTATGCCGAGCAGGGAGGTCAAGTTGCTGACACTGGCAAAATCATCATTGATGGTGTTGCTGAGTTCAAGGTGCTTGATGTCCAGGCATATGGAGGGTACATTGTTCACAACGGCTATCTGGAATACGGTCAGTTGAAGGCTGGAGATGAGATCATTTGCGAATATGATGAACTCCGCAGACAACCTATCCGAAACAACCATACCGGAACGCACATTCTCAACCATGCTTTGCGGGAACACTTGGGGGAAGACATCAACCAGAAGGGATCTCTTGTTGACCAAGACAAGCTGAGATTCGATTTCTCCCACAAGGCTCAAGTCACTTTGCCTGAGATCAAGAAGATTGAGGATTCGTCAAATGCCTACATCAAGCAAAATTGCGAGATCTACTCCAAGGAAGTTGACCTAGATGTTGCCAAGGGTATCGAAGGTGTCCGTGCTGTGTTCGGAGAGACATATCCAAATCCAGTTCGTGTCGTATCTGTCGGGGTGCCGGTTGATGAATTATTGGAGAACCCAACCAATCCTAAGTGGAGAGAAGTCAGTGTCGAGTTCTGCGGTGGGACTCATGTTGAGAAGACGGGCCTCATCAAGGATCTTGTTATCGTGGAAGAGAGCGGTATTGCCAAGGGTATCCGACGTATCATCGCTTACACTGGTGACGCCGCTCATGAAGTTCAACGACTCGCCATTGAATTCGGCAAGCGAATCTCCACTCTTGAACAGATGCCACATGGACCAGAGAAAGAGGCTGAGGTAAAGTCTGTGCAGAACGACTTAAATCAACTCACAATTTCATCTCTGACAAAAGAAGAGCTCAAGACACGTTTCGCAAAGATTCAGAAGGGTCTCTTGGACGAGCAGAAGAAGAGGCAAAAGGCCGAGTCGAAGACTGCACTCGATACCGTCACTGGCCATTTCGCTGAGAACAAGGATAGCAAGGTCTACATTGGCACACTGCCCATCTCTGCTAATTCGAAAGCTATTGCCGATGTCATGAACCACTTCAAGTCTAAGGCTAAGGATAAGTCCGTCTATCTCTTCGCTGGTACTGAGACGGAGATAGTACATGGTGTTTACGTAGGCACTGTGAGTACCCGCTTTCAATTTTTCTGCAGTATACGTATTGACTTTCTGTAGGATCACTCCTCAAAGGGAGTCACTGCTGAGCACTGGGCTGCATCAGTCTCTGATGTCATCGGCGGCCGCTCAGGAGGAAAGGAGCCTACGAGAACTGGCCAGGGTACTAATCCACACAAGATTGGAGAGGGTGTCGCAGCTGCAGAGAAGTGGCTTGCTGAGAAGCTCAAGTGAGGATGGATGGAGGCGTTATACCCGGGAGTTCATTTTCGTAGTCTGTGGATGTAAAATGGTAGTGGCATGTGATTTCATCGTCGGGACCAAGTGTAGCTTGTAGATTGGGCGGTATCTGATCTGCTTTGGAGCTGGGTGGGTAGTTTGCTTGCTTGCTTTAGAGGAAATTCCATGATTTTCAATTTGATAGGACATCCCCTTCCTCCGTCTTCCACCGAAAGGTAGATAAACATGATCAGTAGGTTTCCTCATGATACACGCTGCGCTTGAATCGCTCTCCTTGAGTCCATGCGCTAAACAGCTGCGTTTCTTACCGAGTCCATAGCCCTAGTCGATGTTCTTTTCGACCAACTCAAGTCAGAAATTCTAGGAAGTGTGAGTACCCACGATGTCTGTAATCCATCATTCTATATGCTCTACTTCTGTCCTGACTCATGGCTTCCAGATAGGGTGGAAAGCTCACGTTGTATGTCAGAACTTCGGGACTTTACTATCATAGTTATGTAACCAAATATGCATTATCCTCTTCATAAACTTATCACAGGGGCTGTGACGCAGTGGTAGCGTGTTCCATTCGCATAATGTTCTACATCCGATGTAGATGATAATGTTGGAAAAGTCGTGTGTTCGAATCATACCTGCTCCAAAAGATGTATTTTTTTTGGTGTTTTTACGCGCCGGACAGACTGGCGCAAGCTGTGAATGATGGTCGATACCTTGTCAATCTTCAGGTTGGAGGAGTGGTTGAAAAGATATACAGCTAAGAGAGGGGGCTTTTGACCCTTTTTTTTGCAACCAGATCTGATTGCTGGTTTCCCTAGGCAGGCTAGCGACAGGATTGTTGTGGTATTTTATGGGTCTATTTATATTCGCTTAGCAAAGTAGACCCTGCCCCTTTCATCGCTTACTTATCCATGCGCCTCCTCGCCCACGGTTACTTTGAAAAGGGCCTAAAAATCACACACTGGTCAAAAACAGGAAGAGAAGCAAAAAATTCTAAAAAGTTCATGCCTGAGCACGGATTTGATGTATTAGAATGGAGATACCGCGGATCGAACACGGGATTTCATCAAGTCATGAATACTGCTGCGAGAGCAGAATGCAAATGATGCACGATACCACTTCGTCATATCCCCTGATTAACACATGCTGTGCCAGGAAAGGTGTTATTTGGTTAGATACGCTTGATAGTGAAATCCGTTTTTTTCTCTCTTTCTTTCCGTCTAGGTTGGATTGGCGAGTGTGTAGTGGAGATAGTGGAGAGAGTAGGTGCCGGGGTATGACCGAAGTTTGGTAGACCTACTTGCAGTTCGAGCTTAGGCTTTCGCTGTCTGGAGTCTTCTCTTCGCTCACAATGTCATCTTCCAAGTATATTGCTTGCAAACAGGTGCTACAGGCATACGTCAGGCTGATTTTGCATGTCATGTTTACTAGCTCACTTCACTGCCGTGCTGGGACTTGTTGAAGTCTAAGGCTGGACACTGGCTCCAGTGGAGCATACTTATTGTTAAGAATTCTGTTCAGCGTAAGATTTCTTGAGACCTCCGTATCACAACGTTATTGACTTAAAGCAAAAAGATATAGTTGAGTGTGCAAGAGCATAGCCAGAATCTTTGTTAGGCTACTCTTAATCGTTTTTAATTGCTTGGGCACCAGAAGATCTAAAGCCATCTAACTTTTCCGGCATAACGCCTATCCATCCGTTTGCAAATATTCCTTAGGGAGAGTAGCAACCTTTTCTTGGAAAAGCTTCTCGGCCTTGGACCACACCGGGTGTGTTCTCCATTCCTTCAAGTGTAGCAGACTTGGCAATAAATCCTTGCTGAAAGCCTCGCTCGCTTCTCTAGGAAGCAAACTGGGCAAGTGGTCGATGGAAATGACAGACAATCTGGGCTCACCCTTGACCTCGACGGGCACGGTTGGCTCGTTGAAGGTTGTGGCGACGGTATAGACTGGAATTGGGTTGTTTGGATTGGTAGTATCTGCGCTGACGTCGCAGATGACCGAGAGCTTGCGGTCGGGGGTATCAAGGCTCTTCATGTCGACGAAGTTGGGAATCTTGGACATGAGGTATATGCAGTTGACGAAGATGTCACTCTCCACAATCTCTGGGAATGGTCCACCCTTGGCGGTCTCAGCCATATCCCACTTCAACACATTCTCAGTTGGCACGCCTGCTCTCAAGCAGAGGTCCACAGCACCGCTACCACATCTTCCAAGAGCACCGATCACCAGTACGCGGGGATCCTTGCCAGTCTTTTCCTTTCCAGCGGCAATCGCCTTCTTGACGTCCACAATCAGAGCATCTTCGTTGGGATAGCTAGATACGCTTGGGAAGGGCTCCGAGGCGGGGTGTGTGAGTTGCCATGCCCATGTCTCGAGAGCAAGAGCTGCGCCGGCGAAGCCAGCATGGTATCCGAAAGCTGCGACTCGGCGGTTCTTGTCGTCGGTAAGGAATTCAAGATCGAGGAGTGTGCCGCCGCCGCGGGGAAATCGAGATAGGACCTTCTCCCAGCCGCCTTGTTGCTTGTAGCAATGTGCGAATTGGACATGGACATGCTTGAGGGGGACTAAAAAAAAATCAGATGTGCAATTGGGGCGAGGAAGATTCCATTGGCATACATTCTTCAACCGGAAGCTCCTTCAACCCAATAATGATGTGATCTGTAGGTGCCTCGCGCCATGTGTTTTCTGGTACCAATGTAGCTCCAACGGCCTCGAACTCGCTATCGTCGAATATGCGCTCTGGACTGCGCTCAACATGGACTGTGTAGCCGGCATCTATGAGGGCCTTGGTGGTTGTTGGCGTGAGGGCGGAACGGTGCTCGAGGGCCTTACCCACTGCCGAACGCATTAGTAAGTGTCGCAGCATGATTTCAGGACATTGAAGCCTTACACTCGGAACGAAGATGGAGAATTGTTCCAGACATTATGATGAGTTTGTCAATTGGATTTGAATTGGTTGTTGTGAGTAGATTTGCAAGATTTGGTGACTGAGAAACATCCTGCCGCCATTTTGTTCTGGTTTCTGCCGGTGACGTGACTCACCGCCGTATTATTTTCAGGGGTAAGGTTTTTCCCCAGCCGACATCGCTTTCTGAACATCACATTCAACTACCATCGGCTAGCTACCATAAACTCTGATTGCTTTTTGCATGCATCTTCGTGTCCTGTTGAGTTTGATCGGAAAATCCCGACGACCATCCCGATATCATGTCAATTCTTTCGGGAGCACGTTTATTGATGAGGCCGAGTGGCAACCCCGGGATACCGTACTCGTTGTCTCGGTCTTCGAGTTCCAAGAGACTAACTTGAAGTCGAGGTGATGGTCTGCCCCAGGATAAAGGAGCAAGTTTGATCTTCTTTGCACCTCAGTTGTCTGACCCGCTTGCCCCAATAATTCTCACAAGCTTGGAGAGATCTGAAGCTATTTTGAGAACGGAATATATCCTCCAAATCCTAAAAGTTGTCGTCTCGCAAGCGACTTAAGCTAGGAATATGTTATCTCCCACTCGAGTTCCCCAACGATGTTACCATCTGTACATTAAACAATCACTTGCTTCAATTCAGCGATCAAAATTGGAAGTGTAGCCCGTGCTCATCAGGCCGAGTTCTGAAGTTTGTTTCGTCGCTGTTTCTCAAACAACCTTAACTGGCTTGGCGAGTCAAACGAGATCCAGATCTAGAAATGATTGGGATCCTTTGTGCGGCCGTGGTGATCTCCCGCTCTCCATCCTGGTGGGAAGAGTCGAATCCGGAAAAGTCGACGTTTGACCCGCATACTTCGAACCCAATCTGACGAACGAGGCTGCGTTGCATAGTACTGCTGTATATAGGTTCCTGGGTGCTCTTAGAATGCGTTCGTCGAATCTTGCTGGCACGTTTGTTGTCCCTTTGGAACCCGCCGGGGGTATCTTGACCTTCATTACTGTTTCTTTTTTTCAGGTTATTCTCATTGGTTTTGTTTTGATATTATAGCCGCCAGCATGGCTTTTTCTTCGAGATTGCCTGGTGCTCTCGCCGCTCTTTTATATCTTCAATGTTGTTGTAATGGGGTGCGAGCACAGAACCGGACTTTGCCGGGCTTTGGAGACACCGTCCAAGTTTTGGGAAATGTAAGTCTGGAGCGCAGTCATTCGCAATTACTACGAACTAACAAGGACAGATGGAACGAACGGATCAAGACTTCCAGGACGGCCTTGCCCTCGATATTCTTTCTCCCAAACCCAGGACACTTGTCGTTACGCAAAACAAAGCTCCATTGGCGGCGATATTCATGACAGGGGAAACGGGCGGACCATTCGTTGCCGCATCTAACTATTCCTACATCATCAAGATGAATGAGACGGCCAACGACCTCATCGCAAAAATCGAGATACCGTACGATCCGGTCGAATTACAACGACAAGGTCTACTAGAGGCCAATACTTTCGTCGCCACGTTAGCTTCTGATGGAAAAAGCTGGACCGTCGACGAGCCGATGCGGAATGTTCATCGCAGCGAGAACAACACCCGGATCATCAAGATGACTTCCATAGAAGGAGAGTATATACTCGTGGCTCGGAAGACTGTCGATACCAGTAATGTCTTTATACAATATGGTCAAGGGGAATCAAGGACCGCCAACATGACCGCTGGGCCGGGACTTCAATGCGCTGAATTTATTGATGGGATGAGATTTACCGTCCAGACGAACGTGGATCTGAGGATGAACATTGAGCTCAAACATGGCATCAACCCGGGAACTTTGCCGCCAAATACAGCATCTCTGAACTCGTATATGTGGATTATTAATACCAGCGCGCCGATGGAGAGAGTCAACGCCGAGATGCTCGTACCTTGTATGTATTGCTGAGTGCCTAGTGCCTACGTATTGTCTTTAGCTAACCAACCTTCATAGTCAACAGAATGATGCTTGCAGCAATGAGACCTGAAGGATCCTCTCCTTCAACTATGTTGACGGTCGGCAGACGAGCCTTGAATGCGACGAGCGGTACATTCTTACCTTTCAATAGAGCGGTGCAGTTTGTGAAGGAATTGCCAGAAGATAAGGTGGTTGTGCCGCAAGTAACTCAGCTGGATGGACAGTACATCATTCTAGTTACACAGGCTAAGGCAATTGGCGAGAGTAAGTCAACATCAACTTTCCGCATTAGATATCAGACTTTAGATGCTAAGCGCGTGAACAGCTACTCCTCATGCTGGAATTATAAAGCCCGGGCGGCGTGATCTGGGAAAGCGGTCGAAGTTGAGAAGTAGGAGACTTCCGGATTCTAGATATAGAATAGCTGTATAACATGTCCAGTTGCCAAATACTCAAATGCTCGAAATGATGCTGTTCAATTGCGTGAAATCAAATTTACTTCGGGTATCTCTAACCTATGTCCTCCACTGCTGGCCTCACTGTGGGCGTATTTCCAAAACTTTCTAGGCCTCGATCAACGATCGTAGGAACGGCGAAGCCGTTATTAGGTCCTGCTAAGTTCTGCGAATCAGACACCGCTCCATTTGTATCTGCTTTTAATGCAGCATAGCGTGCCCCAGCTTGCTTCAGTAACTCCTGAACTTCAATTTCTCTTGCGGCAATCTCATTCTTTTCTTGCTTGGACGCTTCCATCTGATTCTGCCTCTTTGCCAAGTCCTGCT